TAAACCTTAAATCCATTAAATTTTTATAATTAATTAATTTTTAGTAACACTTTTCATTTAAAAAGTTATACAACTTATCCGTTTATAATTTAATCTCAATTTCATCCCCGATTAAAATTCGAGTATTGTGTGCTAGTTTTTTACAACCCTTTTGAAAAGAAGTGAGTGTAGAGATTAGATAGGTTAATAATAAGGTTGAAAATCTTGAACCATATCTGGTTAGGACACGGCATGAAGGTCACTTTCCATTGATGCAAAATCCATTGGATTTATCTCACTTGTCGTGGTCTTATCGAGGAATGTTCGCCCTAATTCATACGCCCCATTTGCCCTGTGGGGACCCTATTGCTCGTGTCATGTTCTATGACTTCTCTTACCAATTACCATTTTCAAAAGGATCCGATCCGAGTTGTTGGAGGCTACTCCTCATTATAATTATTAGTTGACAATGCATATAGTTGTTCTATTTTAAGATAACAATAACCGATAGACCATCAATTTATTTCCTAATTGACTCATTATACATATAAGTATAAATTAATATTAGTCGAAACATACGAAAGCACATAAATTTTTTTATCAGAATATAATATTGTAAGATTCATAATTTAAAGTTTAAAATTTAGAGTCTAAATTAAACATGAACTCTCATATTTTTGGAGAGTGTTACTTTCATGTCTTTAGGCAGTTAGTTAGCAGTTACTATTGTTGACTGGAAAGTACAAAATGTGTGAGGCATTTGGTTGGGTTCAACTTGGAAGTTTGAAAGTACAGATTATCATGCTCTAACTCAAACAAAGATGCGCAATGCCATGGCATGCCAAAGTTGTGTACTTTATGTCAAGTGGCTTTAATGTGCCATGCATGAGCATATCTTATGTCTTGTAATCAATGAAAGTGGCAAAAAGAAGCAATTTTCTAACCCCCTGCATGCATGTCTTGACACAGGCATTTTTGTATCTAACCTCAAAAGTGAAGCTTTGATAATCAAAAGGACTACAAATGAAAAAAGAAGAAGTTAAACTTGTGGGTTCATGTGGAAAATATTTAGGGACCAATTTGAGAAACAATACCAAGTTTAGGGAGTAAACGTTGCTTTATCCTAAAAAAGTGTGTTTAATGCCACTTGAAATCCCAAGTCCTAACCTTTGAACCAAAATTTGTGCATCCTTCGAGACAGAAATGAGCCAAGCAAAGGGAGCCACTTCTATGCGCCGCCTGGTCGGCCTCTTTAATACCTCTATCTCTTCAGCTACCAATCCCACCGCCACCTCCGCCGCCGCCTTAAACTCCTCCAAATCCAAAGTCGACCCACGCAAGTTGAAAAAGCTTGCCGATAGATTCAAGAAATCTTCTGAATCCCGCAAATTCCGCAGCTACTCCAAAAAAGCTTACTCCGTCACTGTTCAACGCCTCGCGTCAGCAAAACAGTTCTCGTTGATCGATGACATCCTCCAACACCAAAAGAAGTACCAAGATATCTCCCAGGAAGGCTTCGTTATCTGCCTCATGGTGCTGTAGGGGAAAGCTGGCATGTCCGAACATGCGCATAAACTGTTCGATGAAATGCCTGAAATCAACTGCCAACGTACGGTGAACTCTCTTAACGCCCGTTTGTCGGCGTATCTCCATTCGGAGAAGTTCGATAACGTCGGGAAGTTGCTAGAAGAGTTACCCGAAAAGATAAGAATCGAGCCGGATTTGATTTCTTATAACACAGTTATTAAGGCCTATTGTGAGATGGGTTCTATGGATTCAGCTGTCTCAATGATTGATACATTGGAGAAGAAAGGATTAGAGCCTGTTATTAGAACGTTTAACACTCTGCTTGATGGGTTATTTTCCAGGGGTCGAATTGCCGCTGGAGAGGAAATTTGGGAATTGATGGAAAAGAAGAATGTTGTCCCTGATACTAGGACTTACAATACCAAGTTAAGAGGATTGGGTCATGAGAGAAAGATATCGGAAGCTGTTGAGTTATGGGACGAAATGAAGAGCAAAGGAGTCGAACCCGATATTCATAGCTACAATGCTTTGATTACAGGGTATTGTAATGCTGGGAATTTAGAGCAAGTGTTGAAGTGGTATGGTGAACTGAAGAAAAGTGTTTTACCCGATCTGGTTACTTACATTACAGTTCTTTCGTTCTTTAGTAAGAAGAATGAATTTGAAATGGCAACTGAGATTTGCAAGGAGGCTATAGATCGACGTATAAAATCTGGGACTGCATTGGTAGATAAATTAGTTAAAGAGTCGAGGATCGAAGAAGCTATACAATTCGTGGAGTCGGGCTTATCCCGATCTGCTTTGAGGCTGAAATTCCCTCGACCTTGAATGAGACTGTAAAGAGATATACTTCACTCATTTGTTCATGTTACATGCTTCTTAGGTCATTGCAGCAGACACCCTCAAGTTATGATCTAGAGTTCTAAACTGGTTCAAACCTTCAAAACTATGATTGTTTGAGGATCACTTGTAATTAATCTATGATTGTTCCATCCAGTTTATCTTATTTTCAATCGGGTTTGGGCTTCATATTGGACATGTTTAATAAATAACCCTGTGAATAGGTTGGATATCAGTTTGAGTTTGACCCATATCTACATGGCTCTGTTTTGAAAGTCGAAGTTGGATATGAGTTAATATTACTGATGATAACGACAACCACCACGGCAATAATAACTTTATTTTTATCAAACTACGACCAATAGTTTAAACAAATAAGTTTTAATTATTCAAGAAGAAGAGAAACTAGTATCATACTTTCATCACATTATTAGAATCGAAATAAAAGTGAAATAAAAATATGATAATCTAAGATTTATCGAATCAAATAACCAAGAATAATAAATTAAATACATAATCGTATTTGGACCATTATTTATATAAAATTTTAAATATTAATATTGAAATCTTAAATCTTGTGATTTTAATTTTTCAAATTAGTATACAAATATTTTAAAGACGGTAACTCTCTCATTTTTGAAGATGAGTTGTTAAAAAAAATCAACAAATGTTTAGTTTGAAGGTCATAACCTTAATAAATAACTTTGTACATTAATCTTAATTTTTAACCTGATCATTATCAATGAGAAATTAATTATTTGAATATCTACACATATTCGACTCAAACTCTATATTATAATTGAAGCTTGATTAACTTTAATCATATTAAATCACCTTAATTTAAACTAATTCTTTTACAATAATAAATGACATATAATTATTGTTGCGGAAGACGGCTATCGGATAGAGCAAAATCGTAACTGATAATTTGAGAAAATAAAAATGAAGATAAAAAGAGACACAAAATTTACGTGGAAAACCCCTAAATAAAATAGGGTAAAAACCACGGGCAACGGTAGAAGAATTTCACTATGAGAAAATAGGAATTACAACATCTCTCGATCTACCAAGGAGAAAACAATGATAATTCTCTCTCGATAAAAAGAAGAAAACAACTCTCAAGAAACTCTCTAAATTCTCTCTAGTATTGGAAGAAAGCTAGAATGCTTTGGGATAGTTTTGAAGCTAAATAAGCTAGGGTATTTATAGTTGAATCATAAGGACTAATTTATAAATATCCTAAAGTCTAGGAGGCTAAAAGTGTAATTTTATCCTTGCAAAGTTTTCCACAATTGCTGGCTACTTTTTTGGTGCCATTAATTGTGCATTTTCGGTGCCCCCAAGTTTGACAATTAACTTGGACTTTCAACAATTATTACTTATTATATATATGTCACGAGCATATAATCAAACACAAATTACAATGGATAATTTAAACAAACAAATTTTATTTATTTAATATAAAATTTGTCAAGTGATCTTAAAGATAAAAGGGAAGTTTTTTTTAGAGATCTTGAATTCAAGTAGTTACGTCTGCAAAATGTATGTTATCAATTAATTAAGAAAATTCCGAATAAATATTACATTTTAATCATTATTAACTGTTCAAATAATAATAATAATGCAGATAGTATTGTGCGTATAGCATCTATAAATAAAAATAGTTTAATATAATGTACTTAAATATATATTAATTATCAATTGTCAGTCATTGATGACATTAAAAGAACGTGATGCACATAATATTACACATATAACTTCCTACCAAGGACAAAAAATACTTAACTTCTTATACACATAATATTACACATTAAAAGAATGTGATGCACATAATATTACACATATTAATCAATTACTGTGCACCTGCTCTCGTTTCGGTATGGTACAATGAATGTTTCATACAATGTGGTCCATCTAGATTTAAAGCATTTCAAGTGAAATGCTTGACTTTTTATAATAAATGGAAAGAGTGGTGTTCAAAATTTTGAGATAATATTTTAATAATAAAAATTATAAATTTTGAATATAATTCATAAATGTAACAATAATTATAAATTCTGAATATAAATGGTAAAATAAATATAGAATATAAATCGTAAATTAACCTAAGAACTTAATTAACGTTCGTCATGGAGTAACATAAGAAACTCGCCATGGCGTAGACTTGTCCTTATGATATTCATAATTAAAATATTTTAAAAATTTGAGATTAAAACAATTGTTCGTTAAATATTAAAAAAGGGGATTTTTAATATTATGACGTCAACAGTTTTATTTAGCTTACGTCAATCTTTTATGTTTCAATTAACCAAAGAAAAAAAAATCCGAAGACACGTTTCTCATATGTGGTAGTTAAAGAGTTGATTATGTATTGCTTTCCTTAACGAGCAGACTAGGTGTTCAATGAATTGACCAGTTTGTGAGCTGGTCATAGGTTCAAAAAAAAAAAAAAAGACGTGGCTTAAATATAATCATAGGTGGAATTATTTTTTTGTTAAAATCATTAGTCACTTTCTAGTTGTAGTGAACATATTTTTGACCACAACTAGGAAGGACATCATCGTATTTCACGTGTGTTAGTAGCATGGGCCTAAGCCCCAATATTAAATAGGCACATGAACATGCAGTTTAGAAATCAACCTAAATCACTCATCTTCTTCCTCACAACAAGTGATCGTCTCCATGGATTTGAGTAGCCAATTGCAGACGGATCAGCAGCTTCAACGTTCTGATGTGACCCAACAAAGGCGATCTGCAAATTATAAGCCCAACATTTGGAAATATGATCTCTTACAATCCCTTCGAAGCCGATATGATGTGAGATTCATTCTATTTCATTCAAATCCTCTCTTTCTCTCTCTCTATAGGAGGCTTGATTCTTTCATATCAAGTAACTTTTTTAAGTTTTGAATCTTTTTAGGATTGTTAGGGTTTTGCAAATAGACTGTTGTGATTAACAATATAAAATAAAATGATTTAAAAAATGTAAAACTAAACACATAGTGTAAGTGTGTGTATATATATATATATATATATATATATATTCCATTTCTAGCATTCAAGATAACTACAATCATAAATACATGTTTGACAATCGGTGACGGATTTTGATATTAGTGGAGTTGATGAGTTTTATTTATTAATTAAATCTTATTTGAAATATTTTTAGTTAAGTTTATTTTAAAAAATTTGAGTTGAGTAGAATCCAATACATTTGTTCGAGTTAAATTAAAAAAATTAAATAGATCAAATTAAAACTTTATTGATAATCTAAATAAATTTTATGTCAAAGCACATCAATTAGAGAGCATATGTGTAAAATCTTATTTCAAAGAAAAATGAGAAAAAAATTAAAATTTAATATGATAAACTAGATTTGATAATTTACTTGTTTAATGTTTAAACTTAGTAAAATTTAATTAACTCAAGAATAAATTAATCTATGACTTAATTTATTTTGAGAATAATTTAGAAATTTTAACGTAATGATACATACATCTTTATCGTTTTTATAAAGGTGTGATTTTTCTATTTTATAATAAATATTTTATAAACTTATGGATTTATAATTCTTTTTTTAAAAATTTGATGATTATTTTGATTTTTTAAAGAGACAAATTTGTTTATTTTTAAATAATGACCAAATAGGTACTGAGAAAATCAGGTCAATAATGTAAGCAGAATAATTAATTATAAAAATAAGGTATATTCAAATTTATTTTGAGGTCTATACCATTTACTATAATGTTCGTGGATCTCGCCATGCCTATGTGATCAGTTTCATAAAATATATTAAAAAATAGAACTCGTCATATGATATAGAACAAAATTATATGAAACTTGTCACGCCCCTATAACGAGTTCTATTTTTAATATATTTTATAAAACTCATCACACCCACGTGACGTGTTTCACGTGCACTGTAACAAATGATATAAATCCTAAAATAATTCTTAACCACCCCTATTTTTCAAAAAAGAAGTTACCTCGTATATCATTTCCTTACTTTTACCAATAGGTATATAGATCAATTTATTAGTCTGTTTCTCGAATATTCGAATTATAAAAGTTTAATTCCAGCCAAATTCGAAAAATTAATTCGAAAAAACCGAATAACTCATTACCTTTAATATAAAAAAATTAATCTGAATAACTGAAAATTTGATATCAGCCGTTCTAATATTTTGGCAGGGGGTGGAGTACAAGTTAAGGGCTGAGAAGTTAAGAGAGGAAGTGAAGGCAATGTTTGTGGAAACTCACGAAGAGTTAGCCAAGTTGGAGCTGATTGACATTATCACAAAACTAGGTCTCGGGGACCTGTTTCCACATGAAACTCAGAGAGCTTTAGAAGCTGTACTATCTTCCAACAAGAAGACCAAAAATGGTGAAGAAGATCTCTATATAATTGCGTTACGCTTCAAGCTCCTCAGGCTGCATGGCTACGATGTTTCACAAGGCATGTGTATACCCAGTATCTTTTTTAATGCTTTGAAATGATGTTTTCTATGATCTAACTGTCATGAATATGCTCAGATGTGTTCAAGGGTGCATTTTCAATAACTAAATGCACTGAGATCAAGGGATTGCTTGAGCTTTACGAAGCTTCGTTTCTAGCTTTCGAAGATGAAAACGTATTGGATGAAGCTAAAACTTTCTCAAGGGAAGCTCTTATGAACATTTATTCAACACTGGATACAAACACAGCCGAGGAAGTTGCTCATGCTTTGGAGCTTTCGACACACTGGAGAGTACAGTGGTTTGACGTCAAATGGCGTATTGCTGTGTACGAGAACAACGAAAACGTAGACAAACGGTTACTTGAATTGGCTAAACTTAACTTCAACAGCGTCCAAGCCACGCTTCAGAAGGACCTAAGGGAAATTTCCAGGTAAAACACTGCTGTTTTCAATCTCATGACACATGCGTGCAAATGGAACTAATATATTACATATTTCAGATGGTGGAGGAACCTTGGGATAATGGAACATCTGAACTTCACAAGGGATCGATTAGCAGAAAGTTTCTTCTGTGCAGTTGGACTTGCTTATGAACCTCAATATAGTTGTTTCAGAAAATGCCTCACTAAGATCACCACCATGATATTGATAATAGATGATGTTTATGATGTTTATGGTTCCTTACAAGAGCTAGAACAATTCACAGAAGCTGTTGATAGGTGAAATACATACATACATTTCATGTTTGTAAAACATGTCTCTTACGCAAATCATCTTAAATTCAGGTGGGATTCAAGCAAAATTCAGAAGCTGCCGGAGTGTATGAAGATATGCTTCCAAGCTCTACACGATATCACCAATGAAATTGCTTATGACATTCAAGAGCTGAACGGTTGGAATGTTCAAGCAATACTTCATCTGAGGAAAGCGGTAGTGTATCAAAAATCAATGCCATTTTTGTGTGATTTGGATCTTAAATTGGATCATGTTTTTCTCAGTGGACAGGATTCTGTAAAGCATTATTTGTGGAAGCAAAGTGGTATAATGAAGGATACAGTCCTTCCCTCGAAGAGTACCTGAGCAATGCATTGGTTTCATCAGGAGGCACTGTGATTTCTGTCCACTCAATGCTTTCCTTGGGGACTGATGAAATGATTGATTTGTTGGGAAAAAGTGAAGATCTTGTCTACAATATTTCCATCATAACACGACTTTGCAACGACTTGGGAACTTCAACGGTAATTTCAAAACGTTTTAATTATCGTTTTGAAGAACTTAATTGATACGGGATTGATATTTTTGACAGACGGAGAAAGAGAGAGGGGATGCTCCATCGTCTATCCTTTGCTACATGAGAGAAATGAACGTCTCAGAGAAAGAAGCTGAGGGACATATTAAGAAGATGATAAGCAAGACGTGGATGAAAATAAACCGGCAATGTTTGAGGAGTCGATCACCTGATTTGCTGGTGCCGAGTTCGTTTGTGAAGGTGACGGTTAACGTTGCGCGCATGGTGCATTGCCTCTATCAATTTGGCGATGGATTCGGCGTTCAAGACCAACAGACTCGAAGCCATATCCTCTCTGTTCTGATCGAGCCTTTCCATCTTGATTGCCCTTAATCATAACGAAGAGAAGAAGAAAAAGGGACAAAAATGAACTTTGCTATGCACGTGCTTCACAACGTTCATGAGGAAATTCTAGTTCTGTCGTCTGTTTCTATATTTATTTGTTGTCTTTTGTCTTACGATAAGCGTAGCAACGGCAGTAATTTTGACGTTGGTTCTTAAAAGATGTGATTGTGACATAAATAATATCGTACGTATGAAAGTGTTTTTTCGAGCATCACAAATTACTTTTAAAACTTAATATAAAAATAAGTGTTTAAATTATGTATCTAAAAAAAATTTTAGTTTTAAAAAAATTATTAAAAATAAGTGTCTAACATATTTTTTGTTATATTTTTAGGTGTCTATTATTATATTTTTTTTATTTCATGTTTTTTTAAATAAAATATTATTTAAAAAAAACTTAATTTGTTTATAAGAAAAACCCAAAGTTTTTTAAAATTATAAAATAAGTCCAAAAACCTCAAAATCTATAATTTCACTCATTTTCAGTAGCCGTCGACCGGCCATTTCTGATCACCATCTTCGTCGCCACAATGCCATCTCTGTTGGGACTTCAACAAAAGCGACGGTGAGGTTCACGATCGTTGGGATTGGTCCTAGTCGTCGAAAATAGTGGCTGACGGTTGGGTTGGGTTTTCACTGAAGTTTCCTCCACGGCAAACGATAGCATTACTCGACGAGGGGACAATTGGGCTTTTCTCGACGTGAGATGACACTCTCACTAGTGGAAGCGGTGACGATCACGGTTGGTCGGAGAAGGGTTCGACGGTGAGGGATAACGAACGGTTTCTTACTGTTTTGTGATGATCGACGATCGATTTGAGTGATTGCTGGTCGAGGGTGGGGTCGTGAGATGCCGGAGAAACTGTTGGTGGCGGCGATTTACGCCACCAACGAACCTCCATTGCCTTCGTGGTTGCTCTATTTTGGGGAAGGAGGAAGAGAAAAGGGAGAAGGGGGCTGAAGATTTTTTCAATTTTTTGATTATTTTTTCAATTTTTAAAGTATAATTTTAATTTTTTAATTTTAAATAAAATTGTCAAAATTATACTAACATGACACATGTCTTTTAATGACCAAATTTAATGGCGGCTATGACACAGGTACCTAAAGTAATTACGGTTGTAACGTTAAGCACATATTTCTAACGAAAATTTCTTATACATTAAAATGTTTTTCAAGATATTTATTTTTATAATAAGTATTTTTTAAATAATTATTAATCATATAAATCGCGAGTGTCCTAAGTATTTTTTCAATAACGATCAAATTACTAAATTTATTACTTTTTTTTATTAATTTAGAGTGATTATAATATAATTTTTAACTAAAAGATTCTTAATTATTTGACAATAAACAATTAAACACTAATATATATATTATATTTAAAATTAAAATCTCTAAAAATAACAATATTCTTTTAACTATTAAAATTATTTATTTCGTACAATTACGAATCTATTGAATAATAATAGATGAAAAAATATCTTCTTTTTAATTCCAAAGTAACTATTTCACATTGGTCATAAGATTTGTCCCAAAACAATACAGGCTTTGGTTCACCTCAAAGTTCCATTCTTTAAACTCGTAATTTAATTGCTCAAGCCATGGTTTGATGCCTAATAAGTGACTGATCCAAGAAGAAAGAAGCAACCGCGTACAACCAAAGAACATACCCGAAAGGGAGAGAGAGACATTTGCCTGTGTTGTTTGTATAGTAGAGAAAACATAGAGTAAGAGGCAACCCTCCTCTTCTCCATTCTTCTATATTTCTTTTTCTCATTTACCTATCCTTTCCTGTTATTTCCAATATATATTTTGCAAGTATAGATTTTTTAATTCATAAGATCCTTTTTATTAGATCTGATAACCCTTTGGATCTGCTAGTGAGACCTTGATTTTTTAATATCGAATTTTATTAGTACAGAACTGTTAGGCCTGCCGATCGTTCAGTTTATGATAGAGCTACATTGTGGGGAAACCCGGTAGGGCGGCCTGATCATCTTGCACGGCCGAATTCGTCACCTGCAACTAGGCATTTTGATGATAAAACTCCATTTCTTACCAGTTCAGTTCATATTGGTCGTTATTTTGATGAGGATGAAAGGAAGCCCTTAGATGGGGGTTTTGCCCCTCGTAGAACTATTACTGATGAGAGTTTAGGGGTTCCAGCTAGTCATCTGGAGATGAAGCCGGAGTCTGTTTATGCAGGGAGGGTTTCGGGTCAATAGTGTTAGCTCCTGTAGCTCCAATGTCGAGTGGTTCGCGGAATCTCTACTCTACTCGAGTGTCTGAGGCTGCTGTGATTGGCCTGAGTTCTCAGAGTTCTGGGGGTAACCATAGGCAGGCTTCTTCTGGGTTGTATCCTAATGCATGGGCAGCTAGGAAGGTGATGACTGTGAGTGTTGCTAGTGGTGAACAAAGCGCTGTCTCAAAGTTGGCTAATGCTAGTGCTATTGACAAGGTTTCCTCAGGTCGATGGCAGTCAAAGCAATCTGTTCTGTATCAGAAAGATGTTGATGTTAAACATTCGGAAACAGAAAATGGCTTGCATCTCCAGGGTTATGATGATAAGAATACATCAGAATGATTGCTGTGGCTGGGAGGGAGTATTCTGATGTGATGTTGGCAAGGCAGGTTGAAAGGGGACTGAACATTAAAGATGGAGTTCAGGTTAGTAGAAAGGCGTTACCAGACTACGAGACGAGCCATTTTCCTAACTATTCGGAAGTTAAAGAAAATAAATCAGTAACTTACAGTGAAGGAACTCAATCAATTCGTGCAGATGGCAAATTTGGCAGTTCTAAGTCGCCTGTTGATGTATCTGAGCGGCCGAAGTTGAAGTTACTTCCTCGCACCAAGCCATTGGATAATCTAGAATCGTCTGTTGTTGATGCTAAACAGGTATCTGATGTGATGCTATTGTATTGAAGCTTGCATTCATTTTGTTCTCTCCTAATTTTTATAATATCCTTGTAATAGGAGCAGCAGTGGTCAATTGATTCTGTTATTGGTCATGGTGGAATTGGTAATGATTCATATGGACATGTGAATACTTCAAAACCTGGTTCAGCTGGCAGTGAGAATGGGAACCAGACAGTGGAGCGTCCTAAACTGAATTTCAAGCCTTGTTCACAGCCACTGAAGAATTGAAGGGTAACATTGAGAAGGAAAGGTCAGCTTGTGTCTAGATTTAAAATTATTGTTACTATGTATGAGTATGTTATAGATGTGTATTTCTTATCATAGTTATTGATAATTTACTGAGGGCGAGGGACAGAATTATTAAGATATGTGAGTGGCAAAAGTTATGCATTGGAAGTGTCCTATCAACTTCTGCAGTCTTGTTAGATGGATGAGGGTGTTTTGTTTGTTTATTTTCTGGAAAAATTGTCACTTTATGTTAGTATTTATTAGCTAAGTGTTACTGATGCAGAAGTGTGTGTTTGGTGGTGCTCGTCCACGAGAACTGGTGAGTATCTCTCCTGTCTGCTTACTGCATTGTTTTAATGATTTTTTTCATCACTATCTTTTTGATGTCAACATAGTTTGATTTATTATTATAGCTTCACACTTATTATTATTATTTTGTTTTTCTAATAGTACCTGAAGTATTGTGGTCTGTTTCTCAGGTTCTGAAGGAGCGAGGGATTGATGACAACAGTCATGAGCCGGGCCAACATCCTGATAGGTAATCATTTCTTGTATTTCGTACTGTTATATGACATTTTGGCTCTTTTTTTTATTTGGTCTGTTAACTAATTGGCTAGAAACTTAATGTACCATGTCTTCATCAATCGTTATTGTTATGTGAAGGGTCAAACATAATGTTCTAAGGATTGAAAAGGTTGCTGAGCAAGCAGCTCCTCGCCATGGTGAAAGAGTTGGGAATCCTGTTGATCAGGGAGCTGGATGAAAATCTGAGAGGAACCATATCTGAGAGGAACCATGGCGTTCACAATGACAGAGTTGATATGCAGAGGAGGAATTGGCGTAATGAAAACCAGCATAATGACAGGGAAACCGAAAGACGGCAGCAGAAGAGACAGCCTTCACCTAAAACCTGGCGTAAACCTGCCCAAATAGAGCCTAAACTAGTCTCTCCTGAAGCTGCTGGTGTGCGCTATGGAAAAGCAGCATCAGCATTGGAGCTTTCTCAAGCCTTTTCCAAACCATTCTCGGATCAGAAAATAGATGATCGACATGTTGGACAAAGGGTTCTTCCCGGCCATGCCCAAATGCCTTTTTCTCGACTGATGGGTCCAACTCCAAGGCCTCAGATAAATGGCTACTAAATTTTGAGAGGGTTGTTACCTTAACCGGAGTCCATTGTGTCACCAGTAACTACCTAAATGGTTTTAGGATGTCATTGGTTGTAGTTATGCTGCATGACTTCACGATTTCATGCAGTTGATTTCTTTTTTTTTCATTTAAAAGAAAATTTTAGATCAACTGGCACTCCAAATCAATTGCAATGCCCTCTCATTTTTTCAAGTAATTCCAAATTTTTGCTACTTTTATTTCAATGCTCGTCTAACCAGGCTGAAATAGATGTATGCTTAAGCACCTAAGGATAATGTTAGTAACGTGAAAACATACCAAGCTTGTCAGATTTTTGGTACTGAATCCTAAGGGTACAAATTTGCAAAATCAAGCTTGTCTTTGTTAATTAAGAGGTACCAAGTTTGTGAAGTTTTCAAAAAAGCCCTCTCTCCTTTCTCACTAGCCAATCCTCTGGTATCTGCTTACAAATCTCGTCTCTTATGCTCAATTGTCCATTGACCAACCAAAAGCATACCAGTTTCAGCTGAAGCTTATTCATACAAGCAACTTTTCTACATTTCTTACTTTCCCTTCTCTCTGCATCATTCTTCCTGTCCTTTATTCTCCTCGTTTGGCACAAACCCCAAAAGTTTCCCCTATTTGAACACAGCACCTTTCTTTTATCTATGCTCCACAAACCTCCTTTTACTCTTGTGGGGTTCTCAGTTTTTACTTTTGTTTTTTCAAGACAATGCTGTTCTCCTGTGATCTTGAATTGGACGTCAATGGTGAAACTGAAAAAGTTTCATGGTAGACAAGTTAAATAGTGTTACTGTTTAGTGCTTACCATTCAATCCTTTATTTTTCTTGTGGAGGATTTAAGGATATTGACTACTCTAGTTTGTACTCTTTTTTATGCCTTATTTTCTGATTCTTCTGGTTTCAGTAATCTATTCCTTTCACCAAGGATCTTGGTCCCCCCACTAGATTACATAAGAAACAGGACCACTCTTAAATTTATTGTTGATAGCAACTCTCAACACAATTGCCTAAGACTGCAAGATTCTTTCATTTTCTCTATAGGTTTGTTTGATACTATTTGACACACTTATACTTTCATATTTTTGTTGAGTTGGTAACTGCTTTGCCTTTTGGTGTAAAGCGAACTGAAATATCATACAATGTTTCTTCTTTTCATTAACCATGCAGAGGACTCTTGCATCCTTCTCTGGTGATTCAGCAAATTTGTTAGGTGATTTGATGGATGACACAAAGAACCTGAAAGTGGTACTTCATGACTTTCAAGAGGGAGATAAGGTTTTTGAGCTAGTGGCAAGGTTTTGGTTTAACAAGGGAAGAACTGAGATAACTCCCACCGATGTAGTCCTACTAAATTTAGCTGTGCAATATATAGAGATGGAGAGTGATGATGGCCCCAGGGCTTGCTTGTTAAACCAAACAAGAAAGTCTCTGGATGGTGTTGGTCTCTGGACCTGGTATGAGCTACTTGTAGCTTTGAAAGAGTGCCAAGATTTACTTTCTGCTTCGAATTCTTCGTCGATACTTGATAAGGTCCTCAGTTGTGTTGTAGAAAGGCTTGGCTCTCTGGTTGTTGCAAGCCCTTATGCATCGTCTTCAGAGAATTCCAGTTTGAGGATCAGAAACAGTTTGCCTCAAATATCTTGGTGGTTTGAGGATCTTCTGTTTTTGAACATTGATTTGATTGATAAGTTAATAAGAACGATGATAAGCCGGAATATCGATCATGATACGGTTAGTAAGTTCCTCTTATGTTATCGAAGGTCGAGATTTCTTAGTGCCAGCCTAACTGAAAAGTGCAAAATCATAGAGGTTACAATCAACCTGCTCTCTTTGCTTAATAAGAGCTCCCTTCCTTTCAAGCTCTTATTCGGTATATTTCGAGTCGCTTCAAGCTTGAAAATTAGCAGACATTGCAAGTCCATTTTGGAAAATCTTATTGGCTTGCAACTGGATCAAGCAACTATAGATTTTCTGCTACTCCCATCCCCACACAGGAGAGATTATGTGTATGATGTGAATCTGGTTCTGAGGCTGGTGAAAACATTTTGCAAAGAAGGAAGTTGTTTCATGTCCGCCATGCGATTAAAAAAAGTTGCTAGCTTGGTCGACTCGTTCCTTGTGGAAGTGGCTGCAGATTCCCACCTGAACCCTTCCAAGTTTGCAGCATTAGTCATGGTGCTCCCAGATGGTGCAAGAGAATCCCATGATAGGCTTTTTCAAGCCATAGACATTTATCTAGAGGTATTGCTAACCCTGAATCACTTTAGATTTATAAAATTTTAGGCAGATGCTATTCTATTTTGATTGCTTATGTTGGAATGAGATTTGTTCTTAGTTACTAAGATCGTTAATAATCCGAAAACTGGAATTACTTGACTGATGGAATTTCTGAACAGGTTCATGATGGACTATGTGAGGCAAAGAAAATGAGAATCTGCTCTGCACTTAATTATGCAAAGCTCTCAACAGATGCACTGAGACACTTAGCTCGGAACTCGAAATTCCCTTCAAGAATAGCAATACAAGTTTACATTAATCAACAGTCCAAGCTTGAAAGCTTGTTCGATGGGCAAAACCACCTCGACAGTGACACCTTTACCGGTCCAATCTTTGGGAAGGAAAGTGTGGACGAGAAGGCGAGTTCCGATCAAATCCTTTTGTATGCAAAAAGAATCAACCTTGACAGTAAAGCTGATCAACTCGATGTTAAGCTGCAAGGAATGCAACGCAGGGTAACAGAACTGGAGAAATACCGTGGGATAATGCAGACTCAGATAGGAAATGTTCCAAGAACAAGATTATCCAGTCTTGGGAATAAAGCTAGATTCTTACCAAAACTGTGTTCTTGAAAGATGGTTAATATTTGTAAAGGATGAACCCAACTAATGTAAATGCAATTTTCTTTTGTTTGACATTTTGTAAAGGATGATCAAGCCAGTCATTAGCCCTGTGGGAGTTTCAAAGTTTCAGCACGGTTCTCTCTTTTCCATGGAGAATGAGGATATTAAATAATGAACTAATGATCAACTTGAATAAGAGACAGCAAAATGAGGTATTAATTATTTATTGAATCTTGGTGTGTGTGTGTGAGAGAGAGAGCCATAAATGCAATGATATGGACCAATTTTGATAATGGAGTAAAGCTGTGACAGTATAATTACATGATATAAATCCAGCTAAAATATTAAAAACACAATGTATAAGTATTTTTAGTGGTAAACTAATGTCTAATTCTCTTAAAGATTTTGAGTTCAAACAATTATATTTGTATGTAAGTTATCAATAACTAATAAAGATTGTAAATAAATATTACCTTATAATCATTTTATATTATTAAAAGAAAATTAAACACATATATGAATTATTGGTATATCAAACTTATATAAATATTATAATACATATAACTCATTAAATGACATGAAAGTGTTTTTTAATTTCTTTCTATTTCATAATTTTCTCAAAATTTTAAAATTTTTAAAATTTCATCTTTGTATCACATCATAACCGAATATATTATTCTTTGACGTATTCTTTAATCGTTTTAGATATTGATAAACTTATCTTATAATATTTTATTATTCTATTTATTTAATTTTTTAATTTAAATTAAATTTATAAAACTTTAATTCAAAATTTATAAAGAAATGATTCTGATCTATAATTTTCTTCATTCAAGATGAATCAACAATTTAAAAATAAATTAGAAATTTGAGAAGAAAGATTCTAGGAGTATTTTCATAAATATAAAAATATTAATCTTTTCATAATTTTTAAAAGATAATTAATTTACTATAATTTCGATAATTAAAGATGAATCAATAAAAATGAAACAATAACTAAAATCAAATAAATATTTTTTTTAAAAAATAATGACTAAAATAATTATAAGATCAAAATCAGGAGATAGAATTTATAATTTAATTTATTGTAATATTTTATAATTTAAAGTTGAAGAATAATGCCATCAATTATTTTTGCAAGACACCTTTCCCCTGTATATAAGTACATGGACTTGCAATATTTTGGCTTCATCTCTCCGCGGAAAATCTACCCAGAAATTGTAATAAGAACCCAAAGAGAAAAAGAATAGCATAGGCAGAAACATTCTTTCTATTTTGATTTTTTTGAATTAAAGAACGGAGATGTTGTGGAAGATCGGATTTAGAGGGACTACTTGGGAGGTTGATGCTTCACATTGCCAAGGATGTTCTTCTCTCTTCACTTTCATCAATCGCAAGGTTTTACTTTTGATCCCTTCTTTATTCTCTCTAATTCAATACCCATTTATCAAAATATGTAGTTTTTCTTTCATGGTTACAATTATGCTCGAAATTTCATTATTTTAGTTTACTGCAAGTATTTCTGGATATATAGAATTGACTGTATTTTGATAATTGGAATTTGAGATTCTTTGCTGGTTACTTAGTGAAGGAAGATGTATGATTTATTTTGTGATTGTTATTCCTATTGTTATTGATGGTCTTTACACTGAATTATCAGCATCGCTGCCGAAGGTGTGGGCGCATATTTTGCAATAGTTGCTCTCAGCAGAGAATGGTTTTGCATGGACATGGTGATTCGTCCGTCCGCGTTTGCGATCCTTGTAAAAAGCTCGAAGAGGCTGCTCGATTCGAGTTGCGACATGGAAACAAAAGTAGAACTGGGAGAGGTATAATTTCTTTTTTGGTCATCACATAAGTGTTTTCATGGTTCGTTTCTTTGCGACTTATCACTACGGAATACCTTTAATATTGAACCGTTAAGTGGTTTTGAGCAGGTAGTTTGAAACCAGCTGTAAAAGACGAGGATGACGTTTTCAAGAGGATTGTAGGGGTTGACGGAAAGGAATCATCTTCATCGGGAGTAACTTCAAACAATGAAAGGACTTCGGGTGTTCAAATGGAATTAGGGGTGCTATGCGTTCCGATGTGCTAGTTGCCAGTCATGATAGGGGAAGAGAAATGCATGAAAGTCAGTCTGTTGATCAGTGTATGCAGAATGATATGGCGTCAATCAGTCCCGAGACATTGCGCCGTCAAGGCGGCAAGCATTGGAAGAAAGAAGGAATCATACGGTTCTTAAAGAAGGGAAATCTGAGGAAGCTCTTAGAGCCTTTATGAGAGGGAAGGAGCTAGAGAGGCAGGCTGGATTTTTGGAGACGACTATAAGAAAAAACAATTAAAAAAGTTTGCAATCCGGCAACATGTCCAGGATCCTCAATAAAGAAATCCCTGAAGAATCCGGCAGAACAAACAAGGTCCATAATCCGGTGGGTAGGGATAAGGATGACCTAGCTGCTGAACTCAGGGAATTGGGATGGTCTGATATGGATTTACATGAGGATAATAAAAAGTCCAAAAAATTGAGTTTGGATGGTGAAATTTCTTCTCTTCTCGGAGAAATTCCGAATAAGATTAATAATGGCCATGGCACGGACAAGACCCAGGTTGTTGACATTAAGAAAAAGGCTCTTTTGCTGAAGCGTGAAGGGAAGCTTGCAGAAGCGAAGGAAGAATTGAAGAGAGCTAAAGTCTTAGAGAAGCAACTCGAAGAACAAGAACTGTTGGTTGGCGCTGAAGATTCTGATGATGAGCTATCTGCAATAATCCGCAGTATGGACAATGATAAACAAGATGAAATTTTAATTCAGAATGAGCATATGCAAAGCCTTGACTTTGATTACGTTTCAGGAGCTGCTGAAGATCTTGGTATTGATAGTAATCTTGAAGTAACTGATCAGGATATGGAGGATCCAGAAATAGCTGCTACTCTGAAATCACTAGGTTGGACTGAAGATTCTAATCCTATTGAAGACGATATGGCGCAATCTGCTCCCGTCAAAAGGGAGGCACTGCTAAATGAAATTCTTTCACTAAAGAGAGAAGCTCTTAGTCAAAAGCAGGCAGGTAATGTTGCGGAGGCAATGGCTCAGTTAAAGAAGGCAAAAGTACTTGAGAAAGACCTTGAAAGTTTCGATTCTCAGCCAGAGAATTCAACAGCTAATGAAAATGATAATGCTATGAAAGGTGTGAATCTGAAACTTGCATCGAAGAGTAAATTGATTATTCAGAAAGAGCTAAGTCTCTAGAAGCCCAGTTGGAATAGTTGGGTGCTCATGATTCACCAAGGTCTTCTAGCATTGGGGCAGAACCAGTAGATGATGTAGTTGTTGTTGATCTTCTCGATCCTCAACTTTTGTCTGCCCTGAAAGCAATTGGATTGGATGATCCTAATGTTTTGGCTCATCGCCCAGAAAGATCAGAGCTCGTAAAACCGAGTGCTGCCAAAAGTGAAAATGTTGACCCAGAGAGAATCCAATTAGAAGAGCGGATTAAGGCAGAAAAGGTTAAGGCAGTAAACTTGAAAAGGTCAGGCAAACAAACCGAGGCTTTGGATGCATTTCGGAGGCCCAAAATGCTGGTAAAAAAGCTGAGTTCCTTGTCTTCTTAAAGATAAATCATATCTGGATTGAGGTACATAGTATTTGAGGTCACCATGTGAAATAACTTGAAAGAAAATAGTTCAGATGTAGTATTTGAGGTCACCATGTGAAATACCTTGAAAGAAAAATAGTTCAGATGATTGATTATCGTCTCCCACGCATGCTGAATCTTCACCATAGATTCTTCGATGAAAAATGTATCTTTATATGTTGCAGGTCGTTTGTTACAAAGAATGAGCATGTTCAAGAAAAGAGATTCAAGGTTTAAAATCATTTGCGCCTGATTACCTACAAACATGCATACTTAGTCCAGAAATCAAATACCTTTGCATTACCAGATATTATCCTGATTTGGTAATCCACAACAATGTGAAATGATGCAAAATACAGATGAAAAGCATGAGCCCCCGAATTGGAACTTGAGGGTTCAGATAGATCTGGACGTGGATAGGGGGTTTGGAGTGTCTTCATTACGGTGTAATTTCCGATTCATGTTTCACCCACCGGACCTCGTGTACTAATTGAACGTTTAGGGTCTACAGTTTTTAAGTGGATATAGTTACACATAACAGGCTGTTCCTCCGGTTGTGCACCATGACATCAAATCGTCAAATATATTGTTGGATGGCTCCATGAAAGCCAGAGTACTTCATCAGTTTTCTGCTACTACATTTTCCCCGTCTCTTAGGCTTAAGTCCCTGTTTTCCACGTTAGGCTTAAAATAATATATCAAGTTTTTTATTTTTTTGAAAAATTTAAATTACTAATAATGTTAACGTTTATATGTTGAATCGAGTTCGAATTTGAGCTTCAATTGAACTAAGTTTAAAAATGCTTCAAGTTCAAGTTTTTTTTCAGCTAGAGTTTAATTCAAGATAAGTCCGAGAATATTTCGAGTTTAAGTTTTTTCGAGCTCGAGTTGAGCTTCAAGTTTTGTTTTTTGAGTTTGAGTTGAACTTGACAATTTAAATTCGTGAGTTTTTGAATCAAATCGAGTTCAACAATACTTTAACTCGACTCGGTTCGTTTACAATCCTAATCCGAACCTTAAGGTTACGATGTACGTGTGCTTCACACATGCAATAGTATCTATCATCTTTTTCCTTGGATAAATTCAAAACGTATTCATCAGTTAAAAAGAAGCTATAACACTTTGCATGCATCGATCAATGTCTCTCAAAATCTACTTCTTTTGTCATCCATGGAAGGAATATGAATTTAAAAAGAAGGAAAGAATAAAGAAAACAAATAATTTATGAACAAATAAGAAGCAACCTTTAATCCAAAACTGTAATCTTTTATTCGTATTCTCATCATTAAGAATGCAACTTGGCCTTATAAAGGGGAACTTCCCTTTCACCCACAGATAATCCGCAAATCATACTCATTGGTGTTCCATGCTAGATTAGCATGGTAAAACATGGCATTTTATGAGATTTTAATTTATTTGGCTTTGGACATTACTGCAGGGGTACTTGGCATTGAGGCGAGAAAGCAATCCGATGTATGTTGTGGGAGTTATAGTGTAACTAAAGAGAATTGCAGCATCCTTGTTCTTCTTTCTTGATGATGTATGTTTTTTTTAACAGGCAGAGTGTAGGCGGGAGGCGCTGGACGTTGATCTCTGTGGTTTTGTAGGTTTCCTGCTAGGACTTGCGGAATCAGTACTTCTTGTTCTTGCCCAACTTAGTGTCAACTGTTACGCCGGTTGCGTTTGCATTTTCACAAAGCAAGACTTAAACAAAGCATCCCCTAAGAAACAATTGGCGGCGGCATCCCACATTTTCTCTTGGTATGCCTCTTCTAATATTCTTTACTCTTGTACGAGTGAGTGTCGGATATAAATACATAAATTCTTACAGGATAATATTAGCAGTTGGGTTGACAATGCTGATCATAGGGATGGAGTATGCATCCCTCGTGTCCAATCCTTTTTTCACCGTTGGAGGAATTCTATGTTTCGCTCATGCTTATTATGTATTAGCCATCGCAGCTGCTAGAGAAGATTAAGCAAGTGGACCTCCATACCCTCTAGAAACATATTTTAGGGGGGGATAGAATAGAAATTTAAATTCTTAGGGGTTAAAAGTGCAATTTTATTATTATATTAATCTATAATTTCAGAAGAAGGGAAAATTTTCCATTTTAATAAAATAAAATAACTTAGATTGAAGGACCTTTACGAATCATATGTTCAGCCCAATCAGCAGTACTAACATAAAATCATGCTGTTGAGCCATGTCAATCACTTGTTTCACAAAATGGTGAGGCTTTTCGGGTGTGTCCTCGTCTTCCTAGAAGTTCTTCCATCTATAATACGACGACATTTTTGTCACCCTCTGTTGAGCCATGTCATTACAGTTGATATACAAAATGTATTTGATTTTAAATATCAAACTCAATACATTAACACCAGAGCATTTGTAGGCTGGTTCTTAATTGGATTTGATAAAATGATGACTGTAATCTCTATGTGAAGTTTATAGATGGTTCTAGAGAAATGTTTCTTTCATGATCGAGACCCACCGAACACCTATACTTTTCGTAATGTGTTGTCCCACGTGTAATATCATGTATTGTCCCACCTGTACCATTTGCACTGGTATTTACCATCTTGTTCGTATTCATCAGTTAAAAAGAACTCGAAATTTCGGTACCATTAGCCGTTGAAAACATAATTCAAGACCCTATAACACATTGCTTGCATCCATCGGTGTCTCTCAAAATCTACTTTTCTTGTCATCCATGAAAGGAATATGAATCTAAGAAGGAAGACATTGATGTATGAGCAAAAAAGAAGCAACCTTTAATCCAAAACTGTCATCTTTTATTCGTATTCTCCTCTTCATTAAGAACGCAACTTGCCCTTATAAAGGGGGCCTTCCCTTTCACCCACATATATCTGCAAACCATATTCATCGGTGTTCCATGCTAGATTATTATGGTAGAACATGGCGTTGTATGAGTTTTTGGCTTGTTTGTTGATCCTGGTTTTGGACACTACTGCAGGTATACTCGGCATTGCGGCTGGAAATCAAACAGATGTACGTTAAAATATTATAAGTTCGACCTTTAACATAAAATCTTAAATCCATCTCTTATTGTATATGTTTTTTTTAACAGGAGTGTTCGGGTGAGCAGGATGACATTGATCTATGTGGTTTAGTAGCTTTCCTGCTAGGATTTGCAGCATCAGTACTTCTTCTCCTTGCCCAAATTTGTGGGAACTGTTTCGCTGGTTGCATTTGCATTTGCACAGAGGATGACTTAAACAAAGCATCTGCCAAGAAACGATTGGCAGCGGCTTCCCACATTTTCTCATTGTATGCCTTTTCTTACGTTCTTCGATTCGAGTACGAGTATCGGATATAAATTTGTATCCGATACGAATATGATTAGTTTTTTTTAAAGAAGTTTTCGTACACATAAAGAGGTGTCGTATGAACAAGATAATATTAGCAGTTGGATTGACAATGCTGATCGAAGGGATGGCGAATGCAGCCAGCAAATGCTGCGAACCCAAACCCTTTCTCACTGTTGGAGGAATTCTATGTTTGGCTCATGGACTCTTCACCGTCGCTTATTATCTATCAGCCACCGCAGCTGCTAGAGATGATCGAGCAAGTGGACCTCGATACCCTCTAGAAACATATTTTACAGGGGGCTAAAATGGAATTTTAATTTCTTACGGGTTAAAGTGCAATTTTATTGTTATATTAATTTCTAGAGTTAATTGCAACATACATCCTTAAACTATGACTCTTATTTTAAATTACTCCCTAAACTTTTAAATATTTTAATTTCATCCCTAAATTATGACTCTCATTCTAAATTGGTCCCTAAACTTTTGAACATTCCAAATTTATCCTCAAACTATGACTCTTACTCTAAATTAGTCCCCAAACTTTTGAACATTCCATTGATAACCCCCTAAATCGAAGTCAAACATCGTGAGAAAACTATTGTGAACGCAGACTGCATATTCAAATCGAATTCGATGATTCAAAACAAAGAAGAATAACGAGATAACAAATGAGTGACATCTTGATCAGTCGCGACAACGTCAAATCTAGCCCTGAGAAAAATAAACAACAAGAACAATCAAACGACCGAAAAAGAAAACAAATAAAGAAATACTATAAAGACAAAGAAAACCGTGTCATTAAGACAATTTATTAGAAACAAAAAAAAAGTAAAGATGTAAGATAAGAAAATAAAGAAATGTCGATAATGGTAATTAACACTAAGGTTGATGTCGTCATATTTCAATAATTAAAGTATCGCACAAACCGGACAAACTCAATGGTAAAAGAATTGTTATTCTTTGAGGTTCTAGGTTCAAACACCAAGATTATCAAGAGTGTGAGTATTTAATGTCAAATGAATGAGAGGTTATTCGAAAACGTTTTCATAGTAAAAAGAATCTGGAATTTGGGTATCATTAGCTGTTGAAAAACTTAAGCCAAGACCTTAAACTACATCTTAGGCATTGTTCAATGTTTCTAAAAATCTACTTTTCTTTTCATCCACGGAAGGAATATGAATTTTAAAAAAGAGAAAGGAAAAGAGAAAATGTATGAGCAAAAAGAAGCTTTTATCCAAAACTATCAGCTTACAGCCAATCACTTTCGTATTTGTGACTAATCTGCATGCCTGTTCCCTACTTTATTCGTTTTCTCCTCTTCATTAACAATGCAACTTGCCCTTATAAAGGGAACCTGGCCTATCACCGACAAATATCAGCAACCATATTCATTGGTGTTCCATGCTAGATTATTATGGTAAACATGGCAAGAAAACGTAGGTTTCTGATTTTTTTGCTCATCATGGCTTTGGACATTACGGCTGGGGTACTAGGCACTGAGGCCGAAATAGCTGAAAACAAGGTATTTTTTAATAATCAAGTGATTACAAAATAGTATCTATTCAGATTTTTATTAACCTTCTGACAACGCACACATTCTATTGACACATGAGGCATCTAGAGGGAATTGTATCCTTTGTCTTTTCTTTTTGATGGTACATGGTTTTTGTTAACCAGGTGAAGCATTTGAGGATGTGGATTTTCGAGTGTAGGGACCCCAGTTTCCAAGCTTACTAGCTAGGACTTGCCGCATTAGTGCTTCTTGGCCTCGCCCATGTTGTTGGGAACTTGCTCGGTTGTTGCGTTTGCATTAGGACAAAGGACGGCCTGCACAAAGCATCTGACAACAAGCAATTAGCCGTATGTTCCATCGTTTTCTCATGGTATGTCTCTTCCTATTAGGGTTTTTGTAGTGCTATATTTGTTGTGGAATTCGGGTTAATTTCCACCAATAATAATAAATTCACCTTGAAAACTATTATCTAGGTGATTAGTGTGAAAACAATTGTACTAAAAATCACACTAAGGTAGATTCCCAGGAAAGAGGAGGGGTCACAATGGTCCCTCTTAAAACCCACTTTCCTTAGACAGAACCACCAAGACAAGTAATTTCAATAGGACAATAATTAACAACAACTATACCCGACAATAGCTATTAAATAGACATTAAAAGAGAACACCAAAATTTAACGAGGTTAGGCCAAAATTTAACCTACCTCCTCGAACACTACTAAAATAATATTTCACTAATAGATGAAATATTACAAAGAGAGAAAGAGTACAAATAGCCTTTAATAGTGAATAAGGCTTATATTTGTGGGATAATAAACTAAGGAGGAGGAGGGCTCTATTTATAACAAAAGAATTTCCCCTCCTCCTTATACAAAACCAATGTGGGATATTTGCCAAAATCCAACAAATCTCCACCTTGGCAAATTCCACACACGTCTCTCAAAAAATCCAATCTTCAATAGTGTTTGCAAATTCATCTTTCAATTTGTAACAATATTGACCAAGTCTAAACAATGTTTAAACTTGATCGTAGTTACCACTTTTGTCAACATATCAACAGGATTCTCAGTGGTCCGAATCTTTTGGATTATGACTCCACCTTCTTCTAGAATCTCTCGTACAAAGTGATATCAAACATCGATATGCTTCGTCCTTGCATGGTAAACTTGGTTCTTTGCTAAATGAATAACACTCTGACTGTCACAGTGCACTTTGATGTGCTTTTGTTCCATTCCCAATTCACCAAACAACCCTTGAAGCCAAATTGCCTCCTTCACAGCCTCTGTAACTGCCATATACTCTGCCTCTGTAGTAGACAAAACTACTGTTAACTGTAAGGTGGACTTCCAACTGACTGGTGCTTTTGCAAATGTAAACACATAACCAGTAGTTGACCGACGTTTGTCCAAATCACCTGCATAGTCTGAATCACAATACCCAACTACACACTGACCATCTTGTTTGTCCTGCTGAAAGACCAAACCAACATCTACGATGTTCAGAATATACCGCAGAATCCATTTCACAGCTTCCCAATGCTCCTTTCCAGGATCATGCATATACCTGCTCACAACCCCAACTGCCTGTGAAATATCGGGTCTCGTACACACCATTGCATACATTAAGCTACCAACAACACTTGCATACGGAACCTTTGACATGTATTCACGTTCTGCATCATCATTAGGTGACATGGATGCACCGAGCTTGAAATGAGGAGCAAGAGGTGTACTAACTGGTTTTGACTTCTCATTGCCAAAACGTTTTAGTACCTTCCTCAGATATTCTTTCTGAGACAAACAAAGCCTCCCCAATTTTTTATCCCTTAATATCTCTCTGCCTAGAATCTTCTTTGCTTCACCAAGATCCTTCATCTTAAACTCCTTGTTCAATTGAGTCTTTAGTTTCACAATTTCTGTCTGACTCTTGGAAGCTATCAGCATATCATCAACATAAAGAACAAGATATATATAGGATCCATCTTGTAGCTTGCGTAAATACACACAATGATCATATTTGCTTCTTGTGTACTTCTGCCCTATCATACACTTGTCAAATCGCTTGTACCACTGCCTTGGAGATTGCTTCAATACGTATTGCGATTTTTCTAATTTGCACACCATCTCTTCTTTTTCAGCAACTTTGAATCCATCTAGCTGAGTCATGTAGATTTCCTCATCCAAGTCTCCATGTAAAAATGCAGTTTTTACATCCATCTGAACTAGTTCCAAATCCAACTGTGCTACCAAAGCCAACAAAATTCTGATGGATGAATGTTTTACAACTGGAGAAAATACTTCATTATAATCAACTCCCTCCGTTTGAGCGTAGCCTTTAGACACCAATCTTGCTTTGTAGCGGATGTTATTCTTGTCAGGAAATCCATCTTTCTTTGCATATACCCACTTGCACCCAATTGCCTTCTTTCCTTTCGGAAGACTAGCTAGTTTCCACGTCTGATTCTTTTAAAGGGATTGAATTTCTTCATTCATGGCGATCCTCCACTTTTTATGTTCTGAACTTTGGACTGCTTCATTAAAAGTGGCAGGAACGTCATCAATTGTAATTGGTGATGCAAAAGAGACCATATCAGCATAACGAGCAGGTTGTCTAATGGTCCTCTTTCCCTTTCTGAGTGCAATTGATTCATGTTGCTGTGGAGGTTCTTGGGTCTGAACCTCTTCTTCATATGACTCTTCTTCTACCATAGGAGAGTCAACATCAGTTTCTTTACTGGCTGGGTCAATTCTGCTTCCTTCAAACTCCACCTGTTTGAGAGTTCCATATGTCTGCTCCAATTTTTCTGAAGTCACCTTTCTCAACATGGTAGATTCATCAAAGGTAACATCTCTGCTGAAGATTATTTTCTTTGTTTCTGGACACCAAAGACGATAGCCTTTCACACCATAGGTGATCCCCATAAAGATCGCCTTCTTTGCTCTTGGATCCAGCTTTGACTCCTTAACATGGTAGTATGCAGTGGAATCAAACACATGTAAGGAATCATAATCTGTAGCAGGTTCTCCAAACCATTTCTCTAATGGTGTTTTACCACCAATAGCAGTCGATGGTAAGCGGTTGACAAGATGACAAGCATAGACCAAAGCCTCAGCCCAAAATTCTTTGCCTAACCTAGCATTAGACAACATACACCGAACCTTCTCCACTAATGTCTGGTTCATATGCTCTGCCACCCCATTCTGTTGTGGTGTACTTCTGACAGTGAAGTGCCTGACAATACATTCTTCTTCACAGACTTTCAGAAATGGATCATTTTTGTATTCTCTATCATTGTCTGTACGGAGACGTTTGATTTTTCTACCTGTTTGAGTCTCCACCATCTTTTTCCATTTAAGGAAAAATCCTAGCACCTCATCATTTGTCTTCATTGTATACACTCAAACTCTCCGGGAAAAATCATCAACAAAGGTGATATAATAATGTGTTCCTCCCAATGAAGTTGTCTTGGAAAGCCCCCATACATCTGAATGAACATAATCCAAAATACCTTTAGTATCATGGATTGTTGTTCCAAATTTCACCCTCGTCTTCTTCCCTTTGATGCAATACTCACAAAAAGCTAATTTGCAAGCCCAAGCACCCTTCAATAATCCTTGATCTATCATCAATTTCAAGAATTTTTCACCAACATGCCCCAAGCGTATATGCCATAACCTGGTTGCTTCTGACTCATGTTCATCAGTAGAAGCTGTCACTGCTGTTGTCCCAACAATTGTACTACCCAAAAAGTAATACACATTGTTTCTTTTCCGGATTCCCTTCATTATCACCAATGCACCAGAGATAATCCTCATAATCCCATCTTTTTCCCTCACTTCTAAACCTTTTGACTCTAAGGTTCCCACAGAGATGAGATTTCTCATTAAATCTGGTACATAATGGACACCTGTTAAGGTTCTGATTGATCCATCCTGATTCCTCAAGCGAATTGAACCAATCCTAAGTGTGTCAAGAGGGGAATTATTTGTTGTGTAGATAATTCCACCTTTTAGTTCTTTAAAATCAAAGAACCATTCTCTATTGGGGGTCATATTGTGGCTACAAGCTGAATCTAACAGCCATGAACTGGAACAACTGGTTGATGGCGTAGCAGCGAATGCGAAATCTAAATCTGCATCATCATACTCGACCACATTTGATTCTGAGACAACCTTTCCCCTTTCAGGTTTGCCTTTGTTCTTTAGCCTGGGACATTCTTTCTTCCAGTGCCTTTTTTCTCGACAAAAGGCACATTCATTTTTGCTCAATCTGGACTTTGACTTCGATCTCCCTCTCCTTACTTTATTCTGACTCTTCGAACGGCCTCTAACAACAAGAGCTTTTGCTTCGACACTTGTGTTTTCTTTTTTGTCTTTCTTTCTCAATTCATAACTATACAAGGCAGCAGTTACTTCACTGAGAGACACGTCAACTTTCCCATGAAGTAGAGTAGTTTTAAGATACTCAAACTCATCAGAAAGTGATCCCATCAACATCAGAGCCAGATCTTCATCTTCAAAAGTCACGTCCATATTCATCAGATCAGTCACCAGCTGATTATAGGTAGTAATGTGATCATTCATAGTGGTACCTGGTACATAGTTGAAGCGGAACAATCTCTTTTTCATTTGTTCTGACTGCTTTTATTCAAAATTTTATCCTTCAATGCTTTCCACAATTTACTTGCAGAAGTCTCCTTAGAAAATGCATACTTCTGCTCTCTAGAAAGACACGATCGAATAGTACCACATGCCAATCTATTGATCCTCTTCCATTCTTTCTCCTCAACATCATCTGGTTTCTCTCCTTCAATAGCAGTGTCTAGACCCTGTTGAAATAGGGCATCTAGAACCTCACTTTGCCACATGCCGAAATGACCGGTGCTATCAAAAAATCTCCACTGCAAATCTAACATTTGTCACAGCTGTTGATGACGATGTGGATGTTTTTTGTTGCGTCTGTCATTTCTCTAGAAATTCTATTTAATAGCTGTCAATGCGGAATGCCAATTATCCCAAGGAAATTTTTTCTGATGTGAAAGATCAGCCTAAGCCACAACCACAAAGCATACTAAAATAAACCAAGAGCTCTGATACCAATTGTTGTGGAATTCGGGTTAATTTCCACTAATAATAACAAATTCACCTTGAAAACTATTATCTAGATGACTAGTGTGAAAAAAATTGTACTAAAAATCACACCAAGGTAGATTCTCAGGAAAGAGGAGGGGTCACAATGGTACCTCTTAAAACCCACTTTCTTTAGACAGAACTACCAATACAAGTAATTTTAATAGGACAATAATTAACAACAATTATACCCGACAATAACTATTAAATAGACATTAAAAGAGAACACCAAAATTTAACGAGGTTAGGCCAAAATTTTACCTACCTCCTCAAACACTACTAAAATAATATTTCACTACTAGAGGAAATATTACAAAGAGAGAAAAAGTACAAATAACCTTTAATAGTGAATAAGGCTTATATTTGTGGGATGATAAACTAAGGAGGAGGAGGACTCTATTTATAACAAAAGAATTTCCCCTCCTCCTTATACAAAACCAATGTGGGATATTTACCAAAAACCAACAATATTCTCATTTTTCATATTTCACTGCCCATCAACATGCTACTACCATTTTAGATATGTAGGACTTGTTACATCAATGACAAATATTAATAGTTAAAGTGAAACAATGATCGACTTCCCTTAAATTAGTTTGCTGACACAAAACAGGATAATATTAGCAGTTGTGTTCACAATGCTGATCATAGGGACACTGTCAAACTCAAAGTCAAGGAAATCATGCGGCTTTTCCCTTCATCGTCTTTTCTCCATCGGAGTAATTCTATGTTTTGTTCATGGACTTTTCACCGTCTCTTACTATGTATCAGCCACCGCCACAGCCCGAGAAGATCGAACAAATGGATCTCGATCCGCCGCTGCCAGTGCCTAATTTGCCTTTTCCTACTTCTCCAAGCTTTGTAACAAAGCCAATACAACATTCTTTTTTCAATTATCTGTATTGATATTTTGGATATAACCATGTTAATGGGTGTTATTGAAGTGTTTCGGGTGAGCAAAGTACTTGCACAAATTATTCCCTCTGGATTGCATATGATAAAACTGAAAACGTGCCTCTAAAAACGATGAACAATGCTTACATCAAAATACAACAAATTCTCTTCAGCCAAGCATGGCAATAACATCGTTCAAAGTTGATGCAGTCTCAGCACAGTACTTCTCTGCTTATGGTGTGCTATTGATCTTGGCTGCATGGTCAAGCTATACCAAAAGCGGAAAAAATTATATATTCTGTGTTTTAGTACAGATAATTCTTTCATTTCAAAGCTCAAATAGAAATACAAGTCTACAGAGTTGATTTTTCAACAAGGTAGTTTGAATCCCATATAACTGCCTGATATGTAGTCATCCCAAACATCAAGACCTCCGAAGCTAGTCATCAGAACGGCGCTCAGAGCCATCACGATACCGACTGAGAACACGATCAGGGATGCTCTCCCGAACTCCTTTATGGATTTTTGTACCACAAGTAATCCGAGAAGCGACGCGACGAAACATATTAACGAAAATACGAGTGCAGTGCCGATTTGCTCCATGCCCAACAATAAGTACTGGAATGCAGACATTGTGGATGAGAAGAAAACCATGAAGGAACAGGTAGCTGCTGTTACCTGCATTAAATGACAAAATTCATTGCTTTATGAACTTGTACTAGTAAGCAATATATATTGTTTTCGGTTGCAGAAAGTGACGATATTTTACCTCAGGGGCTACCCCAACTTGAAGAAGAAGTGGACTTATAATCATTCCACCTCCAATTCCAAAAACTCCACCCAAGCCTCCGGCCATTAGAGCCATTAATGGGAAAATAAGCTTGTTGACCCCCCTTCCCTGGTATGTGACGCGCTCTTTGTGATAAAGGATCCCTGCAGTAAAACCTATGGCAAGTGGAATTTGTAACAATGAGAGAGCCCAATATCCTAGTCCACAAGGCTTCATTGGCATGATACCCTGCATGTTTCTTAACCAGTCACAAACTATTGAAACAACTGAAGCATGCACATTGGGACAAATGGGTACCTGTCCATAGCTATTGCCACGAAGGAGATAAACGATAAAGAACGAAAACCAGACGGTAACTAAGATCAGAAGCTTCTTCCATGGAAATCCTGAATTTTCTTTTCCTTCCATGCCCACCAGAGGTTCTTCTAGATCATTAATATCAGCCCCAGTTTCCAGTTTCTCACTTTCCTTGTGTTTCTCCAATTCCATTTTCCAATACCTGACCCCGTTCCTGCAAGTCTTGAGAGTAGACCAAACAAGGAAAACAACAAACAAAATGGTGATCAACCATTCTGGGAACACGTGATTGCAAACTACTCCTACATTTGCACCTAACAACATGCAAGGCTCCGACAAAAGTGCTAAGTCGTAGTCGACCAACGCCTTACGCTGACGCCCGAGCTCGTCACTTTCGGTACGCAAATTGTACATAACGTTTGCAATTGAACCACCGGTGACCATGAAAGCCGAGAAACTCGAGGCTGTTTTGAGGTCTAGACCTGCCACGATTGTTAAAATGGGGATAAATAACCCTCCACCTCCGATACCTCCAGCGCTGGATACGATGGCGGCTATGAAGCAACACACTGATGCTAGTAAGGTTGGGGTTGATAGTTTCAGTTGGCTTCCCTGGAATTTTATCAGATGAGATTTCCATTGGAGGGTTTTGTTGATGAAGCTGTGGATTGTGAGATTATTAAAAATGGGTTGTTGCTGTTGTTGTGTTGCTTGAGATTGGGTGATTTGGCTGATGAAGAAGATGAAAATGGGAAAGGTTAGAGAAAACCATCTTAGCAAAATCTGAATCTTCATTTTTACCGGCAGTTATTTGGTGGCGATGATATGCCCTTAGTCAAAAGAATAGTTATGATGCTAAATATAAAATATATATAGAATTTTTTTCATATGGTATTGTGAATCGTATTTTAATTTTTTATACTTTTAAAATAAGGAAGAATATCCATCTAAATTAGGAAAAAAAATAGTATTTCAGATTTTTATAGTTGAGAAAAGTAAAATATTATTTAATTAAGTTAATTTTGTAAAAATAATAATTATTTTAACAGTTAAAAAATGATCATTTGCTTGATTTTATAATGCGTAATGATTTTTTTATGAGACAGGGTGAATAATAAACTGCCATGCAAAAACAAAAGACATATGGGAAGAAATAAGGGAGCATAGAGTCAAGGTTCCATGGCAGAATATACTCTGGTTTCCTTTCCATATTCCCAAACATAGCATGATTTCTTAGATGATTCTTCTTGATCATCTTTTTACTCGTGACAGATTTTGCAGAATGAAAATAACTACTGATCGATTATGTATCCTATGTAATGAGGAACTCAAATTCAGAAATCACTTGTTCTTTGACTGTACTTATGCTTATTCGATCTGGAACTCTATCATGAATCTTGCCAATATACGTGACACTCACAAGACATGGGTTTCAAGGATGGAATGAGCTGCTCAAAAATGGAAGGGGAAATCCTTACTTTCCATCATCTTTAGAATAGTTTGGAACGCTTTTAACTACTTGATTTGGGAGGAAAGAAATAGAAGGATATTCAAAGGTGGCTCAAGAACAACAGACCAAGTCCTTAATTCTGTCAAAGAATTTGTTTGAATTCAGCTTAGTGATAAAGATATCAATAGAATTGATAATGTAAATTTTAATCTTTGTAGCTATTGGGGTATTGACTAACCTATTTGTTGTAAATAGGGATATTTTCTCCCTCTAGAAATCGGGTTGTATGTTGAACATTCTTCTTGGATAATAAAAACTTACTTATCTAAAAAAATAAACTGCCATGCAAAACAGTACGTATAAACATAAACCAACAAGAGTGGTAGCCAGGAAAGTAGGAAAAAGGCACAATTAGGAAGACAGATCAGTATCCAGCAAACGAAGAGCGAAAAGAGGTGGGCTAGCTGTGAGTTAGAAAAAATATTTTGGAATACTAAACTTAAAAATTATATAGAAAATAAAATTTATGTGGTGAAATTGAATTTTAAATTTTTTAAAGGGTTTCAAAATTTTAAAATTATATAGAAAAAATATTTTTTTTAAATATGAGGTTAATTTTTTTAAAGGGTGTCAAAATATTTCTAGAAGAGGTGTCATTTTTATTCTTTTATTATATATATATATAATTTTTATGGGCAAAAAAATTGTAAAAACTTTTAGGGTGTCAATTGACACCCTCAAGTAGAGACCGAAATGCAATATATGTTATGATATAAAGATTATTAGTTCTCTTTTTTCATACTATGTTTTTATTTTTTTTCGTGAATTGTTTTTCAATTTTGAATAAGAATTTATGTATTTGTGTCATGTTTTTCTCAGCTATTGTGCCACGTATTTTTTATGCTATTGTGATATGATTTTTATGTTTTTTGGTACTTTTTTCGTATACTTTTGATATTGATTGTCATTTTCAAGAGAATATTTCATTTTTCTTTATATTTGTTCAATTTTTTTATTTTTGTAGGAAATTTTTGGTGACTATTGTACCTTTTTTTCTATGCTTGAATTCATTGTAATTGTGATTTCTGCCATTATTTTTATTAATGAAATTTAGTTGCCATTGTTTAAAAAAGTAAAATATATTATAAGGATATATGGTAAGACCCTAATTCCAATTAAAGAGCTTTTTTATTTCTATGGACGAAATATTGTTGAAGAGTTGAATACATATATGATTATTACTATTAACGAAATATTATTATTACCCATTAATACTTTGATTGATTTAAACCAAACAAACGAGGTAAATGATCATCCGAGAACTGCAATCCAATGATTTCTATTGTTTATCGTTCAACAAACCTAGAAAGTAGTCATTGGAATGTACTTCAGAAGTAAGAAAATAACACTGCTGGGGTAACGGTTGTACGGGAGGAGGAGTGGGAGGAGAAGGCAACGATGTTGCACTGCTGTAGATTGAAAAGTAGGGTGTTCAATGGGAGAAACGGTGAAAGGAAATGTACTGAAGGCAGTGTAAATATCGATTTTGCTACAATTGAAATAAATTTATATTTAAGAGGTCAAAATGAGTTTGATAAAAAAAATTTGAAACTCGTAAATCAATATTATCATTGACAATAACCGATGATGGTCAATATAATGGACGAAACTTAGGTAGAAAAAGAGGAAGAAAAATAAATAAAAAGAAAAAAGAAAAAGAGGAATGTCAACACACCTTTTTCGTCCTACTAGGATTCAAACTCTCAAAAATAGGATAGAATTCTGCTAGGATTCAACTCCTAAAATAGGATAGAATTTTGCTATGTTTTAAACTCTTAAAGATAGGATCCACAAGCACTATAAATAGCCATTGTAGCTCACTATTGTAACACACGATTGACACACGATTTACACACAAAACACAGAGAAAAGCACGGAAAATACAATGGCAAAGTTGTTGTAAACGATTCGAAAAGGAAATAAAAGGTAGCATCTTTTTTTACATTGGTTCGTTCATTTCTCGCATGTGCACGTTATTTTTCTTGAGATTTGGTTCGAATAACCCAAAACGTGGGTTGCGCCGATGACTAAAAAGGGGTGGGATTTCGAAGTTTCGAACCTAGATCCACCCCCGAGGCGTGTTCATTTTTTTAAAATATTTAATTCTCCCCCCTAAATCATTTTTTCCTACTTTATTATTCTTGTTATATATGCATATTACTTTCTATTAATTTTATTATATATGTATATATGTTTTTTTATTAGTGTTATTATATATATATATATATATATATATTTATATATTTCCTATTTTACATGTATATATACTTATATTACTTTTGATTTCTTTTTTTATTATTATTATTTTACTTATATATATGCTTTTACTTTTTTATATATTTTACTCATTTATTTATCTATTTTTTATATTTATCCTATATTTTATGTTTTTATATTCTTTTACTTGTTTTATTTATTTATTTACATTATCATTTTATTTTTATTTAGTTGTTTGCTATGCATATATTAGTGTTATTGTTTTTTTATTTTATATATTCTATTCATTTTATATTTACTTTATTTCTTTCTTAATCTCCTTATTTTATTTGTTTTACTTTTTTATCATTTATTCATCTCCTCTAACCCATATTTTGACTTTTAAAGGGTATATTTGTAAATCCGTAAAAGGTAAATAATTTTGGATCATTATTTTATCTTTTAATTTAACTTGTTATTTTTCTTAATTAAGACAACTGGAAATTACGTAGTACCGAAAGGGCGGTTCAAGGGTGCTAATCCTTCCTTGACCGTAACCGACTCCCGAGCCCGACATATTTCTGGTAAGACGCAGATCAGGTAAGAAATAGGGTATCCGATCAACCCATTTATCTTTAAATAAATGATCGGTGGCGACTCCAATCCACATTTTTCAAGTCGAAGCCCAATTCCGGGGCCCAACCGAAAGACGGTTGCGACAGCTTGGCGACTCCGCTGGGGACTTTCAAGTGAGTCAGGCTAAGGTAATTTTCAGTTTTCTTTTTAACGAAAAGGGTAAGTTTAAATTTTAAGGTAACATTTCGATCCTTATTGCTTACTTTTGATTATTTTCGAGTAAATAGTTGGACTAATCGTTTTTTCATGATTTCAGCCTTTAAAGTTTTCTTTTTTTCATCTAAAGGCTTTATACCCGAGCTCCGAACCCGTTTTAAGTGGGGGTGAAAGCGACGCCTTCGTGTGAATTTATTCATCGTATGGGCCTAGCAAGTAACCTTCGGGATTCATATACCTTATGCCTTCGTGTGAATTTATTCTCCGTATGGGCATAAGGGAATGTGTCCTCTCGAGTTTAACTTAGTCCACACAAGCCTGTGATGGGTTTAGGACTAAGGGTCTGGTAAGCCCAAGGGGGCACCAGCAAGGAGAACTCGGGTACCTGTTTTTTAGAACCTAAACCGGGAGACGATGGAGAATTAGAGCCCACCCCAAAACCTTATTCCAAACCTTAGGCTGCTTTGATTTTATTTCATGCCTTACTTTCTGTTCAAAGCATGCGAACTAGACAAATATGCGGTTAGGATTTGTTTGAGATTAGCATTCGGGATAGAGATCATGTCCGGGTAGGAATAATAAGCATGTGGGGTAGATATCATGTGGGGTAGGACTTTCATTTTTATGATCTTTTTTTATTATTTTTTTCACATCACTAACTCTTTTCATCATTCTTTTATTTTATTTTATTTTCATCACTTGCATCATAAAAGAGGTCATTGATCCACTAAAACGTGTTTGTTAAAACTCGAATAATCTGAATCCATGGACAAAGGTGTTGTAATACAAGAGATTAAAAACCCCGAGGTACGACTATGGTCCGAGAAGACTCAGAAGGAAAATGGAGATAGTCTTCAAGGAAGCTATGTGTCAGAGCTTGTTAGCTACGCCTCTATCAGTTTAAAACAGAATAATGTGCAAGAACTTCGAGACATATGAGATAGTTGGAAGAATGATCGGAAACAGAAGTTCAATCAGCGGTATGGTGACATTGCACTTTTGCTTCATGTTAAGACCAATGAGCCCTTAATCAGAGTCTTGGTTCAATTTTGGAACCTGGGATACAGTTGTTTCACTTTTAACCAGGAGGACATGGTACCTACCATCGAGGAGTATACTACACTATTGCACTGTGAAAGCATTAAACTGGAGCGAGCCTACATCAAACACATCAAGAGTCAGCCTTTCAAGAACGAACTGGCTAAGATTGCAGGAGTTGATGAAAAATGGGTGATTGACCGACTCCGAAACAAAGGTAACGGGTAAGACTATAGACCTTTTTGCACTAGGTTTGTAT